ACAACGCGGTCCGATGTGCAAATGGAGCAAGGTTCTGGGTTCCCTAAGGGTAATAGGCTTAATAACTCGACTACCACCCCAACCAGCAGCAGCATTCCAGCAGAAGCAATCCAGGCTGAAGTACAGCGACAAATGTCAGGCCTTCTCAATAAAATGTCGGAGATGGAGAGGGACAATGCTAGACTTCAGCGGGAGTTGCATGCCGAGCGAACAAGAGCTACGACGGGGCAACCTCCTAGGTCTATGCCGCCTCCACCTCTACCGCGATGTGATGTTGATCGTCATCAAGGTGCTTCAAGAGTTCCGCAGGGTGATGTTTCAGGAGTACCTGTAGTACCAGATGGTAGGGGTGAGTCGTGGAGCAGACTATGGGAAGGTCTAACCGGAAAGATTCCAAAGCTTTCCTCGGGAACTACGCCCAAACCACATCCGGCAACAGACCAGTCGAGAATGCCATCAGCAGCGCGCTCGGCGGCTAATCCGGAGGCGACCTGGTCGGGGCATGACGGTTTGGGTGTGATCGAGGCTTTGGCGCAAAGTATGAGACAGATTCAGGAGCTCCAAGTGAAGGCGCTTACCAAGGAGGATGCAAGTGATGACGCTCCTGAGGCCGTGAAGACTGCAATGACAACTCTACCAGTGCTAGGGCTACCTGAAGGAGATCAAGGTGGACTTCAGTTTCAGGACTGGATGATTCAGGTTACAACGTCGATGCAGGATCTCTCAGCAAGCTCTGGGTCGTGGTGGGAAGCAATCAAGGAGACGGTGGTTCAGGCCTACAACCGCTGGTTGAGTGCTGCGCCCTTGGAGCGCCTCAGCATTGAGCCAGGAGGTTCAACAAATTTGGTGCTGGGAAAGTATGTCCGCATCAATGCTAGGGCATGTGCAATGGTGGTGCAAGCGGTTCCAGAGTCTGTCAAGTCTGATCTGATTGCAAGACGAGCGACCCAAAGTATGCCGCTGTTATTGTTCAGGTTGTTTACAGTATATCAGCCTGGAGGAGCCGGAGAGCGTACAGTGATTTTGCAGCGGTTGCAAGGAAGTGATGTAGCTGCGAGCACAGAAGAGTGCCTACGACAACTCAGGGCATGGCCACGCTGGGTTCAACGATGCAAGGATATGGGCATGGCAGTTCCAGACGGTACAGTATTGGCGCGGGGTCTCACGACTCTTACTTCTTCCACAATAACAAAGGTTCCCGACGCCATGTTCCGAACGCAGTTGGTAAGGGCTACGTTGAGGATAGATCAGCAGCCGGCCCTGGAGGATGTGATGAAGTATCAGCAGCACCTTCAAGCGGAAGTAGAAAACATTGCTGGTTCGGTGGTTGTGGGCTCTCAGCCAAAGCTAAGGGCAGCGGCAGTGGGAGGAAGCCCTACTTCGGCGGCGAGCTCAAAGCCGGAATGCAAGTACTTTATGAAGCCAACAGGATGTCGTCGCGGAGCCAAATGCCCTTACTGTCACGATATGAACGCACTTCCGAAGGCTGAGCGGGCTAGGAAGTGCCTCACCTGTGGTGCAGAAGACCACCGGCATCGCGATTGCCCTACACGGATTCCGAGACTGAATCCGGCCAAATCTCAACCCGGTGGTGAGTCGCCGAAGGGACGTGGCCGCGGAGGAGAACCTGAGTCGGAGACTTCTCCAAAGGGAGTTGCGAGTGTCGAGGTGGCGCAAGGGCAGGTTTTGTCGTGGGAGGCCATTCTTCAAGCAGCGGCGCAGGTTGCAGGATCCGCGCCTACGGAGCCAAAGGCGCCTTCTATGCGGGTGTTGTCAATCCGGGGTCCGGGTCCAGGTGATGGAGATGGAGCCTACGCTCTGGTGGATTCTGGAGCAACTCACCCGCTGCGTAGGGCACGATGCAATGAGGAATGGAATCTGGCAAGTCCGGTGGTGGTACATCTGGCAGGAGGAGAAGTGATCGAGTTGCGCATCAATGAAGCGGGGACTTTGCTAGTTCCGATGGCTGGCTCGACCCGAAGCTCTTCCACGGCACCGATTGTACCTCTGGGATCGCTAGTTGGGGTGCTTGGTTACAAGATGGAGTGGTATGGCTCGAGGTGCAGACTTACGGGTCGCGAAGGTGATGTTCTAAATCTAAGAGTCCGTGATGGTTGTCCAGAGATTACCGAGCGCCAGGCACTGGACCTGATCTCTCGCATCGAGGACAAGAAGCTCGAGGACCTCAGAAATGCAACAACTCAGACCAGAAGTACTGTGAGGGCAGCGGCAATGGCCTTGAACAAGTCGTGGTTTGATCATCTGATCTCATATTGTCGGTCTGGGATTGGAGCAGAGGCCCTTCGTGCAATTCAGGATGCGCCATTCTTTCAGGATCTACCCCGAGAAGCTCTTCAGGGACTAAGTGAAGCTGATCCCATAGACAACGGGTGGGATGCTCTGAAAGGACTTCAGCACTTGAATCGTAGAACAAGGAGAAGGTTGTGGCAGTCCAAGAATTGGGTAGTGCATCTGTTCGCTGGAAAGAAGCCAAACGATGAGGTGATGTTCTTGGAGAGACAAGGCTTTGTGGTTCTCGAGCTAGACTTGGAGCGAGGAAAATCGCATGACCTTTGCAACCCGTTGGTGTGGAGAGCTGTCGAGTGGGGTGCAAGAAATGGGCGCGTTTGCTCAGTGATTGGTGGTCCCCCGCAGTCAACCTTTATGTTGAGGAGGTCGATGGCCCATGGACCCGAGGCACTAAGGAGCAATGATTACCCGTATGGTGGATGGTATGGGCAGTCTACGAAGGACATACAGCTGGTAAACAAGCACACCGGACTGTTTGCAAAGATGATATACCTCCATGCGCTTGCAACTGCTGGAAGATGTGAATATCCTGGGGAACCAGGAGATCTCAAGGAAGTGGGCTTTATGCTTGAGCAGCCTCGGGATCCAAGGAGATACCTTCAACTTACGGACCCTTTAGCTGAGGACGCGGTGAGCTT